GTCATCCTGCGCGGTCGGGTCGGGTGTTTCATCCATGGCAGTTGCAGGGGCGGTCGTGGTGTCCATACCTCGCCGGTTTAAAAACCGGATCGAAGGGTCAGAAGGCCCTGGAGGGGACTATAGGGACCTCCCGATGACGTTGTGAAGCTACTTGCTGATATAGAGTCGACGTAAGCAAAATATTCAATCAAAATAGAGGAGACTAGAACACACGTCCGATGCGTAGCTTTGTCTTCTTGGTATAGGACATATAGGTGAACTTGTTACTACTATGTTATAGACCAATTCATAGAGTTTACAAACAAGTCCACCTTTGCCTCACACCGGGAGTGGGCACTGTGCGAGCCCAAACACCAGATTCACTCGAAGTACGCGTTTGCGGATGCGCAGTGCCGACAGTGGCGCCACCGCTGGGCCGTGACGCCAGAGTTCGCAAAAATCGTCTTCTGCGCGCTGCCATCTTTGTCTGCTGGGCTGCGGACCGCCTTATGAGCATGTGCGATTGCTCTGTTGTGCGACATATCAGACGCTGCGCATGCGTCCACAGATCAGTGACTCAGCATTTTTCGCCCCGGGGATAAGCGATGTAAAGGTCTCTACACTGAGATTTCTAGTGCGTCTGTTTTCTCGCAAAGCACGAAGGAAATCCAATCGCTGCAGTCTACAGACGAAGCTCGGCAAAATGGCGACCCTAAAATTTTTTCAGTCCTAAAAAAAAAAAAGTGTGTTTTGACATATAGAGCATGACGTTTCAGCTTGCTTACGTTATGCTGAGTACAACATCGCAGACTCTGTATCTAGGCCCAAATTTATTTACAGCTCCTTCATTTGTCGAGGCCCCCTTTACATCGCAGCGATTGGCTTTTTTACTTCGTGCTTGAGAGAAAGTAGGCGCACAGGATGTTTTATAATGTAAGACAGATTTTTTTTTTTTTTTTTTTTTCTCTCCCGCAGTTTAGGGGCTTGTTGCTTAAATTTGAACAAGGAGCTAGGGTTTACTGTCTTACTGCTTACCATACCAACACTCCTGGAAGCCTTAGACCATCCGGCTTGAGGCTTCCAGAAGGTTGCTTCTTGATGATGCAACAGGAATTTATGGAGTCCTTTTCTCGGATATTATTTTCATTAGAAATGTGTTTCCAAAGTAAGGAGTTGCGTTTCCTATACACGCTTTAATAACGGACATTAAAAATCGACTATATTTACTGAAATTAAAAATAACTTGCTTAAACAAGCTACAATATTTATTCGAAAATAGGTCGACATCATTATGAACAATGCCTGCGCGTGTATTCTTCTTCTGCAACGTTCAAGAAGAGCCAATCATTGCTATTCACAGAAGAGGCCCGATGAATGACGAGGCACCAATAACGTCGGACCGCAGAAAATAGAATATATATATGTATATATATATATATATATATATATATATATATATATATATATATATATATATATATATATATATATATATATATATATATATATATATATATATATATTACTCTAAACTCTATCTCTGTTTTGACCTTCGTCGACTTCTTTTTTTGCAAGTCTTTATTATTGGTCTTCGTGGACTTTTCAGGAAATTGGGGAAACACTTTACAAACTACAACGACGAATAGGACTTGTCGGGCGATGCAAGTCGAAAAACGACAGTATTCTGCAAAACAAAAAGATTTTGGGTTTTATGCTGATTTTCTATCTTTCAATTTTCATATTTCGTGTATAAAAATAATAAGCTCCTGTTATGATTGCGAAATCAGCCAAATACGCTTAAAAATATGGTGTCTTTTTCTTGCAATATGTTTTTCACTTTCAATATTTGCGCGTTTTTTGGTCGGCTTTTTACACGTGTGTTCATGTGTAACCCTCAATATCAACGATAATGTTGAGGACTGCCAAAATACAATGAAATGCAACCCACAATTCACTAAAACTCTACTCTATAATTAATCGCTCAAAAAAGTGTAGCATAGTTAAACTTGGGGAGGACATTAGGGTAACCCTTCTTGAATATTCCGCTCCCTGAACGACGTATTTGTAGTTTGCGCAGGTATTCTAGCTATCATGGTGGCGAGAAACGTCTTTTATAAGTGTGAAGAAATGGCGCATGTTAAAGTATTTGACAAAAAAAAAAAAATAAAACCAGCTGAAATTTTTAAAAGATTGGAAGCAGAGTAGGGTTAGAAAACTATGTCACGACTAAGAATGTACGGTTGGTGCCAACATTTTTCCGAAGGACGACAGCCGGTAACAAATGAACTGCCCGGGACTGCATGGGAGCCGCTATACATTTATTTCTACGCCAAAAGAATCGGGAAGCTGCCAGAACAATGGCAGCGGTGCCCAGTTGTCCACTAGGAACACTTTAAAAAACGTGATATAGTTTAGTGCTCTTCGGGTTTTTCATTCCTTCTGTAGCAAGAATTACCCCAGTCAACCTTGAACGACCCTTGTAGCGTCATTTCCTTGATCAAAGCGGAATAGGACATTTAATTTGTCTTCAACAAAATCCACATCTTCAAATTTTTGTTTTTGCGAATTGCTAGGCATTATATTTGCTGCGCTTATATTGATGCCTTTGTAGCGAATCGAATCAATATATGACGAGTGTGAGTGAACAGAAGGGAAAGAATTACAAAGGGACTGGGCTCGTGAGATTGGTTCTCTCTCAACGCGATGCGCTACTGTCGGCACGGCGTATCAGTCCGCAGTGGAGGACAGTTCGTGCGCTCACCGCTCTCAGTAGGTTATCGTTTTCTCTTACAACAGTGCCGGTGCCGCCTTTGACAGGCTCTAGACACATCAAAACTAACATCTAATATAACTATGTATGATAATTGTTAGAACGCACTAGATATTACAGTATTTGTGATACATTTGTTTTGTAGACAACGTGCAGTCTGGTAATACAAATCTATTCAAATTTATGTTTTTTTAAATTTATGTTCAGTCCATATCTGTCTTTACATTTGTGCGGACGACGGAAGCGTAAAGGCCCGTTCACACTTTTGCGATCGAGTAAGGCCGAGAGGGACCAGACCGGTCTTTAAACCTCTTGCGATCTTTTAGGACCAGCTCCGCGGCAGCGCATCCGGTCCTAGGAAGTCGCAAAAGACTTAAAAACCGGTCTGGTCTCTCTCGGTCTTACTCGGTCGCAAGAGCGTGAACGGAACAACTCGGTCGCAAGAGTGTGAACGGAATAACTTAAGGGGTTAAGCCTCCTGCGACAACTTTCGACCTGCCACGCATCAGCTCATCCGGTCATAAGCGGTAGCAAGAGACTTGTCCCAGTCGGTCGTAGCCGGTTGCAAGCGTGTAAACGTGTCTTAAACAGGAATACAACAAATGTTAGCTTAACGAGGCCAATCCCCGTTTTCTCGGCAGAGGCGGACAGACGATAAAAAGATACGATCGTACAACGAAAGAACAAAACAAAGAATACATAAAACGCACAAATATGCGAAAAGACGCATTGTTACAATCTATACACGTATCGATATGTTCCACAAACATAATTTGATGGAATGTGGCGTCAGCGTTTCAACAGTGATGTTGCTTCTCGTTCAATTATTTAGTAATGATGGAAATCTTTGTGTCAGCATCTAGGTACCGTGATTTGTTCTGCTGTGTGGGTATTTCCCAAGACATTTGTATCGCGAACGATATAAAAATTTGAATTTTGTGTGAAATCAACTATCTGATCCATTAATGAATATTAATTTTTATTTTCGTCGCTTGTCTTAGGTGTAATTATAGGTAAACATGGCTGGAATAAGGTTGAGTATATTAAGAAAGGGTTCTGTCTGGTAGTCATATACTGCATTGTTGATTCACCGAACTGACTTCTTTTTCTTTTGAAAGATCGCGGAACGTTTGAATTTGCCCACCATGAGATGCCACCATGCTTACAAAGTCGTGACGTAGTCTTCACCGTTACTTCATATATCATGCACAAATCTGCCAGTTCCCTTTTGCACGGCGGAGCAACTTCGACCGTTCTTTTGCACGCACTCGCTGACTTGGCTCTCTCAGCGTCTGGGCTGCCGCTCGAAACTCGGGAGGGAAACGCGGAAGCCATCATCTTCCGCGTTTTTCTCCCGAGTTTCGAGTCAATGGAGCCTGCGGCATCGCGCAAGTCCTCAAAATGTTTTGCCTGTTCTTGCAGCTTAGGGTAAGGAGCAGACTACGAGGCAAAGGATGGAGAGCATGGATGAGCCTGGAATGCATGCTCGTTCACACACTTCCGTTTGAGTTTGACCAAATCCGTTGTGTACACTTGTCAAGCCGCGGTAACACTGATGACACATTGTACAAAAGGCACTCTAAAGACTCTTTCTAAGGCGTGTTTCTTCCTTGCACGACGGCCCTGTCATGTTGGTCATACAAAAAAAAAAAACTGTCTGCAGACATGTTTTATACACATGAAGCAAACATGTTTCGAAAATTCGTAAGGTGTGTCTGTGGATAATTCTCTCGTCATGTCCGAAGCGAACACCGCGTCTCTTTTGTGATATATGAGCAATGCGGCTTAAGGCATAGCCTCGTATATACCCATAAAGCCTAGCAGATCGCCACGAGAAGCGGTTGCCGAAATTGAAAAGGTGGAGAGGCAGACAACGGATGAGAGGAGAGACACGTGACTGGCGCCCCGCAGCGGCGAGACGCCGAAACACACTTCTCGCGAGCGAACAAGTGTGTTTCGGGTCCTTGCCGCTGCCAAAAGCTGTGCGTTGACGTCCAGCTTCCCCGAGAAGTGCTCTGTGCTACTAGATCCTCGCGCTCCAAATTTGCGACCGGGCAGTCTAATGGCCCCGTCGTTGAACTGCCAGGTTTTTGTGAGTATAGAGGAGGCTATGCTACGGCTTAGAAGCCTACGACGAGAGGACAGACTGGCACACTGGCACCTTCCTATTATGTAGCGTGGATCACTTGATTTTCTGTTTCTCTGAAGATAGTTTGGTGGGTTTAGCGGAACCTGTAGCCAGTATACGCACCTTCTCGAGCGGACGAGCGAACCATTTCTCCCGAAATCCGGCATCCTGGTCTTCCTGGGTGCAGACGCGGAACTTCCAGACACCGTCCAGGAGTTTCACCTCACGACTCTCAGACTCGCGAGGGTAGAGCAGGGACCCACCGCAACCCAGGACGGTGGCCCCGATGACGCACAGCGCTGGCAGGACACCGTGCTGTCGCTGCATCGCGGTTCCTCGCGCGTTGTTGCTGTGGAGGCGTCTGCGAGGGAGCCACAAGAAATTCTACGCGAACTCTCGTATCCGCTGATAGCGCTCTTTCGATAAATAGCCACGGGGACTCTGCTATCTCAGCAGCTGCCTCTTGGCCTGGTCTAGTTTCGGATCGGGTTCTTCTGCAATCTCTTCGATCGCCTCTGCACTTGCCTATCGCTCCGCGTCTTCACACTTTACCATCGAGATTGCACGCTTCCATGCCGGCCACGCAAGGGTGCCTGTCGGGAACAGTTGGAAAGACAGGTGGCGGCGGAACAACCGCCGTTAGAAAAGCGATATTTTGAGTTATGACGGTAAATGGCAGTGGTATGAGTTATCTCAAGGACAAAGGGTCGGATGTCGAGTGAACGTCAAACATCCAGAAATTCGCTATGACAGGGTAAGAAGGCTCCGTAGCTAAAACAACGCAACGCAATGGCGCGAAAAAAGAAAAAAAAAAAGATTTGTCCTTTGCGAAGTTAGCCGATAGAAAAATGTCAAAAAGAACCACGGAAATAGTGAAGCACGTTGCGGGTCGAAGCCTACCTTTTGAGAAAATACAAGATTGCAGCCGACATGGTGGGCGACAATGCAAACCGAAGGAAAGACTGTGAAGCAGCGGGTAAGAGGCTTGAGGTTAGAACCAGACGTTATGCGCAGCGACCGGGCGCGGATATCATGCTAGGAGGGGACGGCAAAAAAGCTAGAAAGAAAAAAAAAATAATAAAAAAAACGTTTCTCTCGTCGCCCGCTCGTCTCCCATTCTCGTCGCCATCGTAATATTCTCAGTGGGCCCAAGAACGCTCGCACAGGGTCAAAAAGAGACACGACCAGTCCCATCCGAATCCAAGCACGATCTGTTTTAATTACGAGCCCATCGTGCGGTAACACGCTCTCTCCTGGCTTCTCGTTCTTCCTTCCGTCGTCCTTGTGCTATTTTTTATTGATCACGCGGGCACGTCAGAGCGTGCAACACGGCGGTGCCTGCTGTCGTTTTAAGTTCGTGAGCCGGAACCACTAAACTCCGTTCAGCCCTTAGCTGATACTGCGGTGGATGCAACGTGCTCGCTGAACGAGTCGTACGTCTGTCTTTCACCAGGTGATCACGCTTAGAGATCTGCACGGGCCGATATTCAGCAGCCCGGCCCGCTGCCTCTTGGGCCCGGGCCCACCCGCGGCCCGCTATCTATTTTCGAGAGCCGGTCTCACGCGCCCACAGAGGCTCGCTCTATTTTCGCCCAGTATGAATAGCTCACAGAATGCGCGGCATGGCAGCTCGTTTGCCGCTGTTATGCATGTTAACTACGGTGCCCCATGGTTACTGAAGTAAGCATTTCTTTTTTTTTTTTTTGCTGCTATTTTTAGGTGGACGAATCTACGCGCCTAAGCAGCTCATAAAACACACACACACGCACGCACACACACACATGCGCGCACGCACGCACGCACGCACGCGCGCACGCACGCGCGCACACACACACACACACCGATAGTTTTTTTCGTGAGCAAGCACGCGCATGAAAAACGACTGAAAAACAAAAAATGGCAAGAAACAGTAAACAAAACCACACGCCAAAGTTGATAAGGAGGGAAAACGTCGCGACGGGTTCGGACAAAAGACGGGCAAAGTTGTAACTTGCTCACTTCCACCGTGTACAACCGAAAAAAATGATAAACACAAATACTTCCGTCTCATGCGGTGGTCTGCGAGAAATTGTTTAGGAAAAGCACCCCTAAAGGGGAGCCCATAAGCCGTATTGTGGATACACGCACTCGCACGTACATATAAGGTGTACGTCTGCTAGGGTACTCATTGTGTAGGCGCGTATGTGTGCGTTTTGAAGGGTAGAAGCGACTGTACGACGGCGGCGACGCAGGGCACAAAAATGAGCGCTGGTGCTCTGAAAGAGCATTCGCTGTGCAGACTGCGAGTCAAATAAACACGCATACACACACACACACACACACATGCTTTGAGCATCTGGGCCTCCTCAATGTGGTCACCCCCGCAACCACCGAACAAGCTTCCAAAAAAACATTGCTGCTGGAAAAAAACAATAAAAAAAAATTAACGGCCGGTTTGGCTTCTTTCGGCCCGCCCTGTAGACTTGAATGCAAGCCCCTTGCCTGGCCCGGGTCCTTTAAGGTGCAACCCCATCCTTGGCTAGTGTGATTCTGAACCAATAGATGGCGGTGGGATCGCCTTCCAGGCCTGTACATTAATGCGAGAAATCGTGCGTGGTGGCGCTTCGATACAGTGGGGTATATTTCTATGTCCTGAATTTGACATCCCTGGTCCCTGGATTGTTCTTCTCTGCACGAGCTTTCTTTGGAGCGCACGGCTGCGCCAGTTCTCGTGCAAGGGGGCCAATTACCTACGCTCCGAGCTCACGTCTCCAGCAAATGTGGGCAGAAAAAATCACGAAAATCATCCTGAGCCAAATGACGAGACACATGCATAACAAAACCACCGACGCGTTGAAAAATATAAAATTGCCCGTGCGCCGCTATTGGATATTTCAGAAGCCAATTACACATATTTCAATGTGATCAGATTTATATTGTCACGAATGAAGGTGACGAGAGGACGAGCAGTGAAGTTAAAAATAAAGGTTTTATCGTCGAACTTGTGCCAAACAAAAAAAGTAAAGAGCGTCGAGGGCGGCAGCAGAAACATGGCGGCGAAGCGGCAGCGTAACAGAGAGCGAGAGCGAGACTGACTCTACAATGTCGCGGGCAGCTGCTTATCTACAGTGCGTCACTATCTCGAAAGTTCGGCAAAGAAAGTTCGAGCGTCACGTGCTCGGTGCGAGGATGAACTGGCACTTTCGAGAACAAGAAATCAGGGCGGAAGTTAAGTCTGGTGCAAGAATGAACGCGAATCTTCTAGAAGTCCGTGACCGAGCGTTGCTTTCTCGGCTCTGCGGGCGGCAACGAGACGGGCCGGCCTTTTTGTCGTGCATGTGTTTGGCTCTTCGTGGATTTCCAGGAAAATGTGATGACGTGATAGACATGGGTTTCCAAAATTCTAGCTTGAGAAATTAACTACCTAAAATATCAAAACAAATTAACTATTTTTCGGGCGGTCAGGTGTCTCATTTAGGTAGCTGGGTGTTTAGTTTGACCAAAACCACGAGGCTGGAAAACAAAAAATGACACTCAGGTTTAGATGTTTAGTTTGGTAAAGCCAAAGCAAGACTGGTGCGGGAGTCATAATAAAAAAAAAAAAAAAAAAAAAATGCCGAGGTTAATAATTCATTCTAAGCAATAAATTATAATAATTAATTTTAATACGAATCCAGTGGTAAATGCATGACTGGCCAGGCAAAGATTCTGGATCTGTGGATAGCTTTTGCACATAGCTTAAGCAATGTACAGTCTGTCACCAAAAAAATTACAGGATTTTTTTTTTTTTTTTTACCGCAAGACTAAACTAGGCATTGCCAAACGCTCATTCTCCGCCCAAAGGTAGCGCTAGAGGTCACAGCCAGATGTCAAAGTTTTAGCCCGATCCGATACCTTATTCAAAAGTTATATAAGTGATTTTCTGAAAAGTTCAATGGGAAAATAACGGCCGACGTTGTTTTCGACTGCATGGGGCTCTATGGCACCAGAAACCGAAAACGGGCAAAAACGGGCTCCATTTTCCCATTGAAATTTTCAGAAAATCACATAACTTTGGCATCTGGTTGTGACCTAGTGCTGCTTTTGGGCGGAGAATGAGCGTGAGGCGATGCATAGCTAATTTTCGCGGTAAAAAAAAAAACTAATTTTTTTTAGACATCCTGTACCATTCTTCATTTGGTGATTTATGCGCGTAAGTAGTAGTGTGCATAAATAAAAAAAAAGATGCAAACGGGTAGAGTATGACGTTGCAAAAAAATGCAGTGTAAGCACGCACAGCGTACGCTGATTAAGACTGAAACAGCGCTACATTTTACGCTAGCGTTGAGCGTATCGAAAGTTAAGCGTGCATCAAAAGCTTAAGTTTGCACGCATATACAGCTCAGGCAGTAATGTTTGAATGTTCATAGTACTTTATTACCCTAAGATTTGGTGTAAGTTGTCTCCTGTTCGCTTACAACGGAAAGAAGGAAACATTCTAACTCTGTGTTGATAGAAAAACTCCACCCGCTGACAGCTACCAATCATCTCGGCGCCGATTATGAGTATTCACTGCATGCTAACGGTCATGTGCTTAGAACGAGTTTTTCCCACGTGATTTTATACAATCGCAATTGTTTTTGACAAACAATAATGTTTACTCAGGCCAGCGGTCACATGCGAAGCTTATAAAATATATTGTATTGATTGTGGCACCCATGTCCAGTTGCAGTTTTTTTTTTAGTTTTTTTTTACAATCCGCGAAATAGAATGCTCCTGGGTTACCTTGGTATCTAATGCATGTAGCACACAAAAAAGCACGAAATGAATCGCAGTGGGAAACGAAAACAATAATGGTAAACAAGCGTCCGTGTAATCACGCGAAAACTGAGGGCCTTGCACATATGCAGAAGGTAGCTTTGTTTCACTAAATACATGACCAGTAGAGTATTTGATTTTATCGTGTGAGCGAAGCGGAACATAAAAGTGCGAGCATACTGCCCTGAACTACACTTCCAGTGAACAAGCGCACCATCCAATGCATCAAACTTGTTTTTATAGCCTTTTTGGTGCGCTCAAACCTTTGAAAAGACAATTATAATCAATTCTATTATTTCAATTATTTTTATTAAGTGCGCCTATGTGTAGGTTTTTGTTGTTGTTGTTGTTGTCGTTGTTTTTTTTTTTGTTTTTTTTTTGTCTCTTGCGTTCACTTGCCATTTTCCTGGTTATATAATAGTTTCTAGTAGTCCGACAACTATAGTTTGTTTCATAAATAAGAACCTGATAATCAAAGATGTAGAAAAAAAAAAAAGAATGCGAACACGCGAACACACATTAAAGTGCAATGTAACGGGGCATTCAGAATTAGTCGTTAGTTTCTTAGAGAGCAGGAGTTTCGTAG